TAGTGCTTGGAGATGCCTCCTCTTCTCGTGCTCCTTTATTTTGTGGGGTCCCTCAGGGATCTATTTTGGGTCCCCTTCTGTTTACTATCTACATGTTACCCCTGGGTCAAATTATGCGCAGTTATGACACTGAGTTCCACTGCTATGCAGATGATACGCAATTGTATGTCCTGGTAAAGCCTGGTATTATTGAGACATCCCATATTGTCATGCTTCATCGAAATCAAAAATTTATGTCGAAAAACTTTCTGCAGTTGAATGACTCCAAGTCAGAAAAGTGCTTATAATTACCCCATGTGTCCCCAGTAGTGCTAGTATTAATAATCTCTCCTCTAGTCTGGGTGCCTTATCTAATAACGTTCGAAAAGAGGCTCGCAACTTAGGTGTAGTTTTTGACTCAGAACTGTCCTTTGATGTTCAGGTGACTAAAGTGGTGCAGTCTTGTTTTGCACAACTGAGGCAACTAACGAAGATAAAGTCATTCCTTTTTTTGGCAGATTTGGAAAAGGTCATTCATGCTTTTATTTCTTCCAGACTTGATTATTGTAATGCACTTTATTCTGGTATTAGCAAGAGAAATCTCCTAAGATTGCAGCTGATTCAAAATGCTGCTGCTAGGCTTTTAACACGTACTAAGAAAAGTGACCACATTACACCGATTCTTGCTGCTCTTCACTGGTTGCCTGTGAGTTTTAGAATTGATTTTAAGATTTTGTTGCTTGTTTTTAAGGCCTTGAAGGGTCAGGCTCCTGCCTATATTTGTGATTTATTATTTCCTTATGAGCCTGATCGCTGCTTGAGATCTTCCGGTAGGGCCCTATTAATGGTTCCAAAATCTCGACTTGTTACCAAAGGTGACCGCGCTTTTGCTACTTTTAAGTCTCTTCTTAAGACTCATTTTTATCGTATGGCTTTTTCTTAATGTTGATGGTATTTTTTGTATTTTGTTACTGCACTAATCTTTTCATTGTAAAGCACTTTGTAACTTTGTTTTGAAAGGTGCTATATAAATAAATGTTTACTTACTTAC